AAGCAGACAGGGTCTGGTGGGTGGTTACGCTGCTGGAGACCTCACTCACTTCCCCAGGGTGTCTCTGCAGCCCCTTTTGGACTCTCTACCTCTATGCTGATTACAGGCATGGGCTTTAAGATGCCACAGTTGAGGTGAGAGGCATGCATCAAGTGTCTTCTTTCCTTCCTCCTCTTCCATGTGAAACATCTTTTCCAGCCATGTTGTTCAGCTTTGAATTTTCTATTGCTAGTATGCAACGTAAAGGAAAAAAGAACTGGCATCATCAAAATGTACACTGAAGTACATTGATAAATACTTGAAGTACTTCAGTGGTCATAACTAAAGAAAACATGTTCCTGATGAGACCTAATTATTCAGTAGAATAACGCAATTTAAGGTTCTCTGGGGGATGCTTTGCATCCTCCTCCCTCCTGGTTCCTATACCTATAACTGGGCATTTTCTTCAGTAAAAAAGCAAGAACGTTCCTCCTTCACTCTCTTTTATGGGGACCATGAGAAGCCAATGGAGTGAAGAACTGGAAGAGACCTTTAAGAGCAGGAACACCTGCATCTGTGGTAGGACGGTGCTGTCCTTGGCAGGTGTTTATCAGACCTGCTCATAAAAGCCTGCACTCTAGGGTGTTTAATTACCATCATGATGAGAAAGATATTCCTATCATCTGATCTACACATAAATAAAAAACTAATTCAAAAATCAGTTTTGACTCCGTCCCCAACTTTTCTTTGACTGCCGTCTTTTCCTAGCCTGCTCCATCTCCCAGCCCTGTGCCAGCCCCATCTCCCACAGCAAACAGAACACCACAATCCCTTCCGCGTGCAATTTTGCTGTCGAGTTGATGTATGTTTTTAGCCATTTATTTTAATTTCTGTCTGTACCACATCCTTCAAACAGGGAGGCCGCTGCAGGAGCGCTTGCGGGCCTGCGAAGGACAGAGCGTCCCTTCGTGGGGCTGCGAGGGGCTTGGCGGGGCGTACCGCCTCTGCTCCGAAATGGCGCCTGGCGTATTCACCTTCTGCTCTGAAGACAAAAGGGAAAGAAGTGGGAAGGGGAATCCGCGAGGTCCCGGGGCGAAGGGGTGCTGGTGGGTCCCTCGGGCGGTTTGGGGTGCTTGGTTATCCAGCCCCGATCCCACTAGATGGCAGTGACCGCTGTGCTAAGTGGAGCATCCCAGTCGGAGCTGCCGTCCGCCCTGTGGTGTCTGCTTGAGGGAGGCAATGGGGAGAGATGGAGGAGATGGGCAACGTGCTCCCCTCTGCCCACACAGCCCAGCCTTGCGTGGCGAGACTGGGGTCCTGCTTCTGCCTCACCTGACACCGGGCTTTGGATGCCGTATGCCATTGACAGAAAGGTGCAGTGCCTCTGGGCGAGCACAGGGAAGAGAATTTACTTCTCTCAGCTCTTGGACACAGAAGTCTTCTGGGGATGCTTGCTGGGCTGGTATCCCCCTGCACTGTCAGCCTGTGAGCAGAGGGCTGGGGTCCTGCCCAGGTGTATGTGCCCAGTCGATGCGAAGGCAGGGCTGGGGGGCCTGGGGAGACATTTCTCCTTGGAGAGGTAGCGCATGAAGTGCGTGGTACACGTCTCACCTGAAAACTGGCCAAGTGTTGTGGAAGGGAAGCAAAACAGATTTGGGAAGAGTCTGAGGGAGGATAATTAGTTTAGTTCAGCACTTGTTTATAGCCTGACTCTTCCTATGAGGAAGATGCAACCCACCAAAAAACGACAGGAGTGGGCTGTGGGTGTGCTGGCAGTGCTCGGCAGTGGGAATCAGCTTCCTGAGCGGGACGAGAGGAGAGAGTCTGCAGGCCATGGGGTGTCGGGAGTGTGAAGACAAATTACAGGCTGCAGCGAGAGAGAAGAGGGAGCCCAAGGGAGAGGTGCAGGGGGGAGGTGGCAGAGGATCTTTGCAGCAGTGCACTCCCTGGCTATGAGCAGTTTTGAAGGTCAGAGGAAAGGTCTCTGGTGAGATACACCTTTTTTTTTCTCCAACCTGCAGAGATCTCAGGCAGCGTGCCTGCTCTGAGTGTACATCTCACACCTCTGCAGTGGCAGTGACAGCCCACCCCTGCGACCGCTCCTCTCCTGCATCCCAGCTCCTGTGCCAGATGCTGCTGCATGTGGGTCACTGAGCCCCCCAGGTCTCTGCGCTGGAGAATGAGAGAGGTGCATGGTGCAAGGGGGCAAGGGACTGGGGCCTTGTGGCACCCAACTTCTCCGATTCAAAGGATGGACAACCCTCTCTGGTGCAGCGCAGCACTGAAGGATGTCTTTGCCCAGTTGAGGGAGGTCCGCTAAAAATAACAGAGAACAGAGGCAGTCATGCTAACAGGCTTGGAAGCTGTGATTCAAGAAGGTCCCTCATGTCCCCTCCTGTCTGATTCTTTGAAGGAGATGATAGTAATTTATCATCTTTCCTCTTATCTCAGAGTCTGTGGTCTGGTCAGATATGGGGAAGCCACTTCCCTAATTCCTGGTAGGGACAGGATGCTCCCACAGATCCGTTCCACTCCTCCAGGCAGCCTTCTCAGGCTCCAGACAACAGCATGTTTGTATCATTTTTGTTAGTCACCGCTCAAAGGCGATAACCAGCCACCACTCTTCTGGCAGGGTTCGGAGGGTGAGGCCAGCTAGCTGTGGGGACAGAGGCTGCTGAGGGGATGGGGGCCTGAAGGATGGTGCCCAGGTGATTCCAGCTGGGCTGTGCCATGATGGGGATGCTGTGACCCCCCCAGGAGAGAGGTCTCCCATATTCTGGTTTGGCAGCTGAGCTCCCAGTCACAAGGGGCAGTGCGAGTGCCAGCAAGGTGGTGGGGCACAGCTACCTCATGGCTGGTGGGATGTAGCACCGCTGCAATTCCCTGCCCTCAACCACCTCAGCTCCTGGAGTCTGTGTGCCCTCCCAGCTCTGCCAGCACCAAGAGGCAACGTGTTTTCTGAAAGCAGCTTTCACTGGCAGCACGTACCATGTTCATTGTTATAACAGCCCAGTATGGGATGGAGAGACCCAGATGGGAAGGGCTCCTTTGAAGGCCTTTGCAGACAAAGATCCCAACCTAGCAAGACCTCTACCCATGCTGAACCCACCGCTGGACTTTGCAGAGACCTGGGTCAGCTCTGTGTTTGTATATACGTGCAAGCATTTTTTCCTCTTAAAGACAAAGCAAAGGAATGAAACAGCACAGCCGCATGGCCTCCCTTACATGTGTTTCAGGCTGTGTGATAAAAAGGGCAGAGCACTGCTGTTAGAACGAAGGTGCCTCTTTATTATGCAGCAAAGTAATTATTTCCCAGTCAGTAGATAGGACTCCAGCCACTTGGCACTTTCTTGCGTGCCATTTTCCAATCCAAAAGAGTAACTTGGGATTTTGTGATAATTCAAGCAATCAGATGTGCTCATGCACATGGCATTCATTTGCTAGAAATGCCACACAGATCCCATTCAGCCTTAACACTCGTAAATCCATGTGACACTTTTATCTATTTATAAACTTTTAACAGCAGGTTATGATTGTTATGCAAGCCATTTTCCAGGGATTAATAATCAGCTTGTGTTGATGGCAGCGAGAAGGGCCATTAATTGCTCTGGGACAGTCATTAATCTATAGTAAATGCTCAGCATCTGGATAATTTCTATGTAATTAAATAATCAATACTGCCTTTTGAATCAAATAACTGGAGGATTGTATTACAAATTTATCTTGGCGTAGAGTGTTCTTAATTCTCTTAGTTTGCAACAGGGCAGGAAACAGGCACACGGGCAAGTGAGACCTTCTCCTGGTGTGACTGGCTCTTAACTTATCAGCTATTTGATTCAAAATCTGTCAAGTGATCAAAATATAGTTCAGACTGGCCACCAAAACCTATTAATTGGACTGGGTGGAGAAAAAAATAAGCACAAATGGGTTGTCCTTTTTCTGTTAATATAGAGTTCTTTCATTATTGGAATAAAATTATGTCTTTGAGTGACCCAATGCTGGGAAGTAGCCTGGCAGAATTAAAATAATCAAACAAAAGCTCTCCCTGCCCAGCCACCTCCAGAAGAGTCCCTTTTGACTCATTCCCCATCTGGCTAACATGACCTCTGTGCCCTCAGGCAGAGGGGGTTGTGACCTTCATTTCTCTTTGCCTTCTCCTCCTCCCCTCTCCCCTTTCTCTCTCCGGGCAGTGCTTTAAGTCACTTCTCTGGTTTTGTTTTGTTCTCGCTTTGCTGTCAAATCCAGCGATCTGCAGAGGTGCTGATAGATGAAAGTAACGGTGCCCATCACAAACTCGGTCAGGCAAGAATGACACCACAGTGGTGCTGGTGCCTTCTCCCCGGGGAGCTGGGGAAATGCCCTAGCAGGCAGAGCTCCTCATAGGTGAGAACAGGTAAATAGGAGATGAAAACATGAATGTCAAAAGAAAAAAAGAGAC